GGTAATAAAGGCCGATCTCTCAGGAGGCTCTGCAAGCGGGCCACGGCTGTTGAAACCAGGGCAATAGTTGGCGGAATCCGCAGGAGCCTCCCGCATGAGCGGCGACAAGAAATGGCATAGCGATCTTACGCGGTGACGTACGCAGGCCTCCAGCGCGGCACGCCAAATTGGAAACGAGGGCGCTTACGCGAGACCATACTCGGGCCGCTTTCGCGCCAATGTCGGCGCAGTGGACCACGTTCTCTTCCGTCGCTCAAATGGGGTCCGAATAGATGGGGTAGGAGTATCGCGCCAAATCGGCGATGCAGCGCCGATGCATCGCCGATGCATCGGCGACGTCGGCGACGCATCAACGACATCAGCGCGGAGAGATCGGGCTCCACATCGCGCCGCGACGCCGACGCATCGGCGATGCGGTGTGATCCTCCATCCCCATCTGCTCGGACCCCATCTAGGAGGCCGAAAGGCCGACCCTTCGGCGTGTGTGAGACGCTTTTCCGTTGGAGTCGTCGCCGTCGTCGTCGTCGTCGTCGTCGTCGTCGACTCGCTCCCTCCCTTCCCTCAACCCCTGGATCCCTCAGTCCTGTGTCCCCCCCCCCGGATCGATCTGGACTGCGATCCGTCCGATCGCCCCCCCCCCCCCCCCCGGGCCTGCTTCGCGCAGCACCACGCGGCCTTGCTCTTGTCCCACTTCGCCTGAGCCCACGAGCGGCGGCTTCAGCATGGGGGGAGCGGGTCCTGAGGGAAACGGTTCCTGGACCCTTGGGCCTTCCCCCGTGGCGAGGCCTTCATGCCGAGCCGCTTTCTGGCAGCGGCGAGGCCCGTGGAGGGCCCCGAGGGCCCGAGAACAGCGAAAGCCCTCGGGACTCGCTTCCCACACGGCCCGCTTCCCCCCTGGCGACGGCTGCCAGGGGAGGTCCGCGGCCCCCCCCCCCTCTGCACAGGCAGGGGCCGCGTGCGCCTCGTGCCGCCCGACTCCGCGCAGCGCGCCCCGCGGTGCGCGGCGCGCGGCGGTCGTCGCGCCCTCGCGCCGCTGCCCTGGGGAAGGGCGCCGCTCCAGCCCAGGCCGCGGTGTGCGCGAGGCGCGGGCAGCCTTCGCGCCCCCAGGCATGGGCCGCTCGATCGCGGCCCAGTGGGCATCGGGGGCAGGCAGGCTGCGGAGGTGTTGGGCCCCCATCGAGGGCGACGAGGAGGTCCCTGACCAGCGCGGCCGGGCGGGCGCCGTGGCGCGCACGAGTGCGGCAGGCGCGGGGCGCTGTGGCGAGCTTGCCCCTTGGCCGAGGGAGGGGAGGAGGGCCAGAGGGCGGGAGGCAGGCGACCGAGGCTGGAGGGAGAGGGGATGCGAGGAGAGCGGAAGGGGCGGACGCGGGGAGGGAGGGCAGAAGGGAGGCCGGACGCGGGAAGGGAGTAGGAGGAGGAGGAGGAGGAGGCGGAGGAGGAGAAGGAGGAGGAGGAGGAGGGGGAGGAGGAGGGGGGAGAGGAGGGGGAGGAGGAGGAGGAGGAGGAGGTGAGGAGGAGTAGGAGGAGGAAAAGGAAGGAGGAGGAAAGGGGAGGAGGAGGGAGGGAGGAGGAGGAGGAAGGGGGAGGGAGGGCAAGCAGAGAAGGCAGGGGGGAGGAGGGAGGAGGGGGGAGGGAGTAGGGAGGAAGAGGAAGGAGGAGGAGGAGGAGGGGCAGAGCAGGGGGAGGAGGAGGAGGAGGAGGAGGGGTAGAGGACCGAGCGCGGGCGACAGAGCTGCAGCGGCCGAGTCGGGGACGAGGGGAGGCCCCGCAGGGCACCCCGGGGCCGGCAGGACGCCCCCGCGCGCCCATCGGCAGCAGGAGGCAGCGAGGGGGCCAGCGACAGGGTTCGGTCGGGCACGTCCTCCTGCAGGGGGAGTTTGGACGAAAATCAAAAGTACTCCAAAGATGCGCAAGAAAGGAATCCAAGAAATGCTCCAAAAATCGTCCCCAGGCCACCCTTTTTGACTATTCTTGGCTAGTCCCCCTGCGGGACAGGCCCGACGCCACGACGGGGAGCGCGGCCGCGAGCGCGAAGCGCCGGAGCCCGCTCTCGCCCCCGCCGCCAGGCCTGCGCCGCCGGAGCCCGCCGCCCGCGCCCGCGCCCGCGCCGGCCGGGCCTCCCGCCGGAGCTGGCGCCTCGCCTCCGCGGCGGCGGCGAGGGCGGTCGCGCGGGGCGGCCAGGGCGGCGAGGGCTGGTCGCGGCGGCTGCGGCCGCGGCGGCGAGGGCGGCGGCCGCCCCGAGGCGGCGAGGCCGCCGCCGAGCGCCGCGCGGCCGGCCGCTCGCGGCCCCGCCGTGCTCCACGGCCCGCAGGGCCCCTGCGGAGCGGCCGGGGGCGGCTGCCCCCCCGAGGGCGAGGGGCGACACCCGCCGCTCTCGGTGCGGTGACGGACCGCGTGATGGCCTCGGGGTGCCCAGCCCGCAGATCCTGGTTGTCACAACGGGCGTCTTCGCTAAATTTCGGGCCCCAGGACCCCACAGGTCGATCCGGCTCGAAGAGTGGCGCAGAAAGATGGGATCTGGGGCTCCGGCCGTGATTTTTGTGCGATCTTGCATTTTTGTTTGCAACGTCGGATCTCAGGAAAGGACCTCACCGCGCGGTCCGCCACTGCACTGTTCTGAGACCTCGGAGGCCCCAGTCGCCCGAGAGACGTCCTGGGACCAGAGCCCCCAGAAGCCCGCGCGACGACCCCGCATTTCCCCCACGCCGAGCCGCGCACGGAGAGAGGAGGTAGGAGCCGACCAGTGTGGCCGAAGGGGGCACTGGCAGGGAGAAGTTGGGCGCGAAGAATTGAGGAGGTGATAAAAAAGAAGGGGGGGGAAAGGTGCCCTTTTCGGGCCCTGCAGGCCCCCTTTGGGGCCCCAGAGGGGCCCTTCAGGCCCCTCAGGGGGCCTATAATGGACCCCTCTTCTGCAGCCCCCGCTGGCCCCCCCCCCCTCCATTGAGGGCCCCCCCTGGAGCCGAAGGGCCGGGCCCCTGTTCTGCCGCCCTCGCTGCCCACCCCCCCCTCTAGTGTGCCCCCCCCCATGGCGCGGCCGCCAGGAGGAGAGGAGCCTGGACGGGGCCGGAGGCGCGTGGCGCCCGAGCTCTGGAGTCTGCTCCAGCGTTGAGTCGGGCGTGTCCCCCTACAGGCGGATCTTGGAGGAAAAACTAAAATACTATGTTTGTTTTGTTTTTTGAATAAAAGATGTATATATATATATACATACAAACATATATACATACATACATACATACATACATACATACATACATACATACATACATACATACATACATACATACATACATACATTACCATAATACATACATACATACATACATACATACATACATACATACATACATACATACATACATACATACATACATACATACATTCACATCATACATACATAATACATACATACCCATACAGACAGGGACAGGACAGACAGACAGACAGACAGACAGACAGGACAGACAGACAGACACATTCATAATAATATTCATACATACATACATACATACATACATACATACATACATACATACATACATACATACATACATACATACATACATACATACATACATACATACATACATACATACATACATACATACATGCATGCATGCATGCATGCATGCATGCATGCATGCATGCATGCATGCATGCATGCATGCATGCATGTCTACCTACCTACCTACCTACCTACCTACCTACCTACCTACATACATACAGACAGACAGACAGACAGACAGACAGACAGACAGACAGACAGACAGACAGACATACATGCATAGAAATAAATACCCCCAGAACAGTCCAATAATAGTCGAGCAGTCGTCCCCAGACTATTTTCTGACTACTTTCTCATATTCCTCCTGTGGAGGGACAGGCCCGACTTCCCTCCCGCGCCCCGCCCCGCCCCGGGGCCCACGTGCGCTCGACGGGGCGGGCGCGAGGGCGCCAGGCCGATGCCGGAAGGCCGCCGGGGGTCGCGCCCGCGACTCACTCCGCGGGCGGGCGTGCCCGGCCTCAAGTCGGGCACGTCCCCCTACAGGGGGATTTGGGGCAAAAAATCTGGAATACCCCAAGAAAATACCCCAAAAATGTTCGAGAATAATCAGAAAAATAGTGTCCCCGACTATGTTTGACAATTTCTGAATATGCCCCCCGTAGAGGGGCAGGCCCGACTCAGGCCTGGCCTCCCTGAGGTCCTGGCGTGCCGACTTCTGCGAGCCGGGCGTTTGCGCCAGGGCTCCGGGCCCCGGGGCCCTCGCAGCGATCGATCCGGCTCGAAAGAAAGGTCTGTGTGAAAAAAAACACAGACTGTGGGAAAAAACACACACTGTGTGTTTTTTGTTCCACAGTGTGTGCTTGTGTTTGTTTTCCCGCAGCGATCGATCCGGCTCGAAAGAAAGGACGCGGAGAGATGGTGCCCAGGGCTCCCGGGCGTGGCTGTCTCTCCGCGGCCCGACGTCTCCGCCACCGTCGGAGCTCGGGGCTCCCTGCCCGCCCTGCCAGAGGGGTGGGGAGGCAGAGCGCCGGAGCGCAGACGGACGAAGCCTGGGCCCGCGTGGGGCTCCGGCTCCGGCGACCGGGCGTCGCACGGCACGGCGCGGCACTGCGCGGGAGGTGCGAGCGACGGTCTGAGGAGGGGGTCTGACGCGAGACGGCATGATGACCGTACGAGAGGGCTACGCGAGATGGCATGATCCTATCTGAGAGGGGTCTTACGGCATGATGACCTTATCTGAGAAGGGGTCTGACGCGAGATGGCACGATGACCTCACGCGGCGGCTGCGCGGGCAGCTCGCGGCGCCGCGGTCGGGGAAGATGGCCCCTTTCTCGGCGCCGCCCAGTTGCAGGACAGCTCTGGGATGCTGCGGTGCGACGGGACTTTCCTCGAGGATCACGGGACGAGCCTGCAGCTACCACTGCTTAAGCAACGCTCGAAATGGCAGCTCTGAAAAAGGAGGGGGCCCACCTGCCACTGGTCGAGGCCGTCCAAGCAATCAAAGTACAGCGCCGCCGGGGTGGTCTCGGGGCAGGCAACTTGCCGATGCTCGCAGCAGTATGCCTGACCCCGGATGCGGCTTGGGCGGGCGGAATGCAAAAGGGACAAAAAACGAGCCATCACCGTCACCAAGTATCCCCACATCGTCATCACTGTCGTCCTTTGTTTCCTTCGCAAGCTAGCCGCCTCGCCGTAAGAAAACACGTTGTCCTCGGACAGAGATTCGACTGAAAACCATATACTCCGCCTGTATGACGGCTTGCGTGTACCACTAGAGCAAACATTCGATAATTTCAGTCATTGATACTAGCACAAGTCTGCTTGCATTATTGTAGTAGTAGCACCACTCAGCAGCAGTCTTAGTAGTACGAACGGTTTTAATGATATTGGCAGGTGTCCTACTGACTGTCCTGGTAATCCGCCGACCCCCGCTTGCTGTGGGTGTCAGCACGTGTGAAAATTTGGCTGTCCCCATCCCCCTGCTCCCCCTCTCCGACGCATCCAGACACTATCCACGATGGCAGCCCCGTTGACCCAAAGACTGCGCCACGATGGCTCCAGAGCCTCGCAAGAAAGACCCCAGATATCAAAACCACGGACACCAAAGCGCTGTCCAACGACTGTAGCGCTCTCGTCTACGTGCATCGAAAATCTGCCCCTGACTGGCCCAGAGGGGCTGCTCGTGAGGAGGCCAAATCGGCCCCAACAGGCCACAGGAGGGTCCAGAGAGGACAAAGATGAGGTCCCGACAGGCCTCCGGGAAGATCCCAAGCAGCCCCAAGGGCCCACAAGAGGCCCCCAAAAATCAGCCATGGACAGAAACGCAACAGCCAAGACGTCGAACAGCACCCGAAGCGGCGAGGCGCCGCATGGATCCCTGCCGACAGCTCTCCGCTGACCCTCCAGGGGGCGCAGCAAAGAGGGCACGCCTGCCGCCCCGCGGGGAGAGGCCCTCAGTCGGGTCTCCGTGCGAGGGCACCCCGCCGGACACCCCGAAAAAGCGTGCGCAGTGGCCACAGCTGCGCGGCCACGGCGGGGCGAGGGAAACTGGCGAAGAGTGACGGGGGGCCAGGGCGGCACTCGAGCCTGAACAGAAACTGGGGCAGGTATCCTCGCGCTGCGCCCTCGGCGAGGCGCGAAGCGCGACTACCTTCGCGCGTGCGCGCCGCCCCCTCCCCCCCGCGGAACTGGGTGAGGGCCTCGCGCCGTCGCCCAGGCCGCGAAGCGAGAAACGCGACAGTGTGACTTTCCGCACCCTCGCGGCCGTGGAGGAAGCAGCCCCCCCCTCCGCTGAACCCCGCGCGGCCGCCGGAAAGCGGCGGCACCGGCGCGGCTGGAGGCATCCCGCGGGGGGGGGAGGGCCAGAGCTGCACGCCCTGCGCGAGGGCGCCACTCCGCCGGAGCCTCCCACGACGGCGCGGAGAAGTGACGATGGGCACGTCCTTGGTAAGGGACCGGACTCTGTACACCGACGTTTTCTACGGCCCCGCACTGAAATTCGCACGAGAAAGCTGATCCTGGTGTGTACATGTTTCACTGTTTCCACGGGAAAACAGGGAAAATAGTATACACCACACCACTCCGACGTCGTCGCCGACCCTCAAAAGGTTCTGGCACTGAAAAACAGCCCGCCACTGGTAATGTATATGTTCCAGTTTCCGACTTGGAGCCCGTTCTCACCACTCGCGATAACTTGACGGCGCGGAGGGGGGTAGGGGAGGGGGGCAAGGCTTCGTAGAAGGAGGCTGCTTCTCAGAGGGCGTCGGCCTTCCATTTGACCTCTCCCACGCGTGGCTTGGCTTGCACGCGTCGTGGTTGTGCACTGCGCCTCGAGGTGTTCTGGTGTTTCCCTGCCCGCGGTTTACACATGTGCTGAGCCCCCCAGGAATGCGTGTGCTTGTGCTTGATTTCGGGCGTGCTCGCCTCAGCTTGCCCCCCCCCAGGATTTCGCGGCGTCGACATACGTTCGAATGCAATGTAGCTTTTGCATCTTGCTTGATGGTGGCGCGATGACTGGCCCCCCAGGAGCGCAGGAGAGTGGCTGCGGCTGCTCGCCTAGCATCACCCAGGAGAGCGAGAGAAACATGTTGCATCTGCGTGTCACGACTGGATCTGCCATTGAAATACCCATTCCTCCAAAGAAAACTGCCAGCTTCCTCGCTCACGATTCGAACCACCATGAGAACGTTCTCGACCCAAACCGAGGTTGCCATCCAAACACTCATCCTCCCCAAGCTAAACTGCCGACCGCCCCACCAAAGATCGAAACAGCCATGGAAACACCATCACCCCACGGGCTATAAAAACGGCAACAAGGATCGCTTCGCCCGCACGCAGGCGAGCCCAGAATCGAATCGATAAGTCGAATCGGCGATCGAAATGAATCGGATCGGTGGAAATTGGCAGCCAAGTCGGGAGAAGTCGAATCGGCGGAAATCGGCAGGCGGCTAGTAGGCCTCAGTTGCGAAATCGGATCCCAAATCGGAATCCGAAGTCGAATCGAATCGAAATCGAAAGCCATCGAAGTCGGATCGAATCGAAATCGGAGGAGTCGAAACGAGCCCTGCGCACGACCAGGTGTCCGCCTGTCCATCACGCTAAAACCTCCCCGACCCCGCACGGCTGCGACCAGGGGAGCCCATAGGTCGCCCGCGGCCCCCCCGCGACCCGTGCGGCGCGGGCCGAAGCTACGCAGAGGGCACCTCTGCCCCACCACCACCGTGCCTGGGAGGGGGAGGAGGGGGAGGAGGAGGGGGAGGAGGAGGAGGAGGAGGAGGAGGAGGAGGAGGGGGAGGAGGAGGAGGAGGAGGAGGAGGAGGAGGAGGAGGAGGAGGAGGAGGAGGAGGAGGAGGAGGAGGAGGGGAGGAGGAGGAGGAGGAGGAGGAGGGGGAGGAGGAGGAGGAGGAGGGAGGAGGCGGAGGAGGAGGAGGAGGAGGGGGGAGGAGGGGGAGGAGGGGGAGGAGGAGGGAGGAAGGAGGAGGAGGAGGAGGAGGAGGAGGAGGAGGAGGAGGAGGAGGAGGAGGAGGAGGAGGAGGAGGAGGAGGAGGAGGAGGAACTGGCCAGGGCCATCCTGGGCCCTGGCACGGTGCACACCGCCCCCCGGCCGAGGCCCGGCAGGTCTGCACGCCACGGCGGGGCCCAGGATGACCCTGGCCAGACGCGGCCGTGGCGCACGGGTGCCTCATGCGGAGAGGAGCGCCCTCCTCTTCGACGCCCGCGCGCCCCGCTCCCCTCCGTGGAGCGGAACGACTCGCTGGCCCGGGCCGGGACGCGCGAGTCGCAGAGAAGCCCACGCGTAAGCGGCCAAGGCAGCCGGCTCGGCAGCGGCACTGCCACCGCGGACATCCGACGATGCGAGTTCGTCACTGCCCGGCCCCAGAGGTCCAGACCCCGACCCCTGAGGTGATTTTGTTTAGCGCACCAGGGCCAAAGACGGCTCGTCAAGCCAAGGGTGAGAGCTCCGCAGAACAACGGCGCTTGTCCAGGAATATACTGGCGCACTACTCCCATCGAAGACGAGCTATGACTCGGCAACAATCTCCTGGCACAGCGGCGTCGCTCCAGCCCCAATCGAGCAGTCGGACCCTCCCTCTGCCACGTTTTCGGCCCAGACCTAGTCTCGATTGGGAGGCCTGGAAATGGGCACCAACGCCAAGACAGGGGGCTGCCTCCACAGGGGGGAGATGATCCTAGATTTCGGTGTTGGTGGTAATCTTGCGGCCACCTTGGAAGCCAGAATATTACCACCATCGCCGAGATCGGGATCTTCGTCCCTCGGTGAAGGAACACCGCCGATATTGGTGTTGGTGTCACCCTCTGGGCCTGCGATCGATGGCCGCAGGGGCCCGACGCGGGCCCCAGGCGCCGAGAGCGACGAGGCACGCCCGGGCTCACAAAGACACGCCCTGCCCGAGAGCTGGGACCGCGGGCCCCCGCCGCCCGAGCGCGCCCCGCCGTCTCTCTTAGGAGCCCTCCGCTGTCCCCTCGGCCGGGCGTGTCCTCGCCCAGCCACTGGACGAGCGCGCTCCACTGCTCGCAAAAGGCAGCTACTCGCCAGTGGCCCGGATCCGCCGCGGGGCGGGGCTTCCACGGTACACTCCGTGGAGGAAGACGTGTGCTCTTGTTCGGGCCTTTTGCGAGTAGAGTCCTCGGCCTGACCCAAGGAACGATAAATGAGGAACGAAGCCCCTTGCTGCTCAACAGAACAATTCGGAAGGAACGACAAGCAATAAATACCGCATGAGGAACGATACAAAAAAACGCGTGCAAGCCTCAGGAACGACCGAGCCCCTTCTGAAAAGCAAAGTGCTCCTTATTCACGCCGCTCACCGTAGGCACTCGGCGAGTAGTGGACCGCGCCCGGGGAAAGCCACGGCCGGGCCCCCCGAGGGCCCTCCTTCTTCTCCACGGACCACAGCTCGTTCCAGTACGAGACCCCAACCGAGCAGTCGTACTCCGCCGACTGGGGTGGCTCGGTGGTGGTGGTCGTCACGACCGTGGTGATGTCTTCGCAGCCTCGCGGTCGGCAGAGAGCGACTTGCCCCTCATAGGCCAGTCGCGCTCTGCGCGGCAAGAACGACAGAAACAAACAGCGAAGGAACTCCAAACGGTTACCACTAGTCTCTTGACGGGAGGCCCTAAGTAACTAAAAGTCAAGAATAGAGCGTGCTGCCTCTACCTGTCAGTCCAAAGGACAAGAGAGCCCAGGGGAGGGAGGGAGGGAAGGGAGAGGGTGAGAGGGGGGAGGAGACTGAAGGAGAGGGAGGGAGAGAGAGAGGGAGAGAGAAAGAGCGAGCGAGCGAGCGACTGAGGCGAGGGGAGGGGGAGTGGAGGGCGGGGAGGGGGGGGAGGGGGGGCGAATGGGAAGGGGAGGGGATATGCAGAAAGGGAGAAACAGAGAGAAAGAGAGAGAGAGAGAGAGAAACGGACAGGGACAGGCGCCGATCCACACCTGCCCTCTCAGAACTCGGCGATGGGGCGCCAGAGTGCCGAAACTCAGATGTCGTAGAATGCGATTACTTTACGAGCCGAAATTTGCATGATTGACCCCACCGATACATTAAACCCGTATACTAAGGACGCAGATGCAAGGGCCTTGGAAGGCCATGTCGACACTTTGCGAGCGAGGCGCGGACAGCGAAAGCGGCCAAGGATGGGCCGTAGGGGAAGGATGCAACGGTAATCCTGGAAAGTCGCTCATCCTTACTATGCGGTTTAACTGTACTTTTCTTGGTTGTGGCAACGGCCAGAATTTGCATCATTGACTCCACCGATACAATTTGCTTTGGCTTCACATACCTGTGCGCAATGCTACCCACTACCTCGGCCTTTGCTTGCGCAATTGATGCATCCCTTCCTAGAACTCGCCGGTGTTGCTCAGTGGGTCTCCAGTCCCATTGCGAACTGTGTTGCTTACACTCCGCCAAAGACACAGAAATTGACAAAGAAAGGAAGAAAGAGAACGATCGAATAAAAGACGTGCTTGTATCACTCGTACAAGCACTTCGTACTGGTAGTCAAACTTTTCGCTGGCTTTACATATGAACTGCGGGTGCCTAAGAAGGTGCCCGAGATCAATGGGCAATTGTAGAAGGCTTATTTATCAAATATCTTCCAGCCCCTCCTCCCTCCCCCCAGTACCATCGCTAACCTGACCACCCTGTACGCTTTGTGCAAACGCCCGCAGAGTCGCAGTCCTAATGAACTGAGAACACGGCCAAACGAAAGTGGAAGGAAAGGCGATGGCATGATGAGCCAGAATACAATCCAGCTCCAACTAATAAATACATTCATACGTACATACCTATACGACCACCCTTCGGGTGATAAGGAGGTTCGGGGGGGGGAGGAACCAACGTCTCACTCGATCGGTCTCACTATCGGTCTCACTATCGATCTCACAATCGATATCACTATCGGTCTCGTTCGATCGATCTCACTCGATCGATCTCACAATCGATCTGACTCGATCTATCTCATTCGATCGATCTCACACTTGATCTGACTATCGGTATGACAATCGATCTCACAATCGATCTCACAATCGATCTCACATTCGGTTTCACTATCGATATCACAATCGATCTCACAATCAACGTCATCATCATCACCATCAAAACCATCAACATCACCATCATCATCATCATCATCATCATCATCATCATCATCATCATCATCATCATCATCATCATCATCATCATCATCATCATCATCATCGGGACACCATCATCACCATCACCATCATCATCATCATCATCATCATCATCATCATCATCATCATCATCATCATCGAAATCATCATCACAATTAGCATCATCATCATAATCATCATCATCAGCATCATCATCATCATCATCATCATCATCCACCACCACCACCACCACCACCACCACCATCATCATCATCATCATCATCATCATCATCATCATCATCATCATCATCATCATCATCATCATCATCATCATCATCATCATCATCATCATCATCATCATCATCATCATCATCATCATCATCATCATCATCATCATCATCATCATCATCATCATCATCATCATCATCGGGACACCGACGGGACACCGACGGACACCGACGGGACACCGACGGGACACCGGCGGGACACCGCGGGGCCCCGGCCGCCCGGAAGGGAGACATTTGGTCCAGCCGCGCCTCAGCCACACGGGACACCAGCGGGACACCGGCGGGACACCGCGGGCCCGGGCCGCCCGGAAGGGAGACATTTGGTCCGGCCGCGCCTCAGCCACAGGAGACTTTCTCTCGCCCGCCCACGCAGCTTCGCCTCGCCCGCACGGCACGCACGAACACGAAACCGAAATCGATTTCCCGGTAGGGGGGCTCTCCGTTCCACTTCGATCTCACCCCCTCACCTCCGACCAACATGCACTCACACACACGCACACACACACACACACACGATATGGCACGTACCGGGCAAACTCCACCACGGTGGCACGAATGATGATCTCGGTTGAGCGTTCCGCAAGTGCTGTCCGGCCGAGTCAGGACGAGGCAGATCAGAGCAGGGGCACTCCGTGCGAAGGCCTCGGCTCGCCATGATGCAGCAGTACTTCCTGTCGGTGAGGGACCACGCCTTCTCCTCCTGCGGATCACGCGTACTTGGAGGAGGAGGAGGAGGAGGAGGAGGAGGAGGAGGACACACACACACACACACACTGCTCCTCTGCGCTGGCTCGCCCTGGGGCACCACCCTGACCTGCTGCTCGGGGCACGTCCAGCCAGCGACGACTAGACGCTCGAGATCTGGCACGATGGTTTGAGACGCGCGCGCGAGCAGCAAAAAAGTGCCAGGAGGCGCCCACCTGGCGATGAAGAAAGCCGCCGAGGAAGATCAAGATCCACAGCTTCTGGAGCCCTGGCCGTACCCTTGGGAGCAGTGGGCATGGCAGTGTTTAGCGGGCGAGAAATGGTAGACCATGACTTGTTACCAACATCGAGGACGCCTGACCCAGGGCGGCTGGAAAATGTATTCCCCGTGGTGGCAGGTAGGGATATACACTTTCCAACCGCCATGGGACAGGCGCCCCAGATCACGGAAGCGTTTCTGTTGTACTGTTCTTCGCCCTGTGATGATTGCCCGCCCGCAGGAGCGCATCTCCACCACTGCTCGAGGCCCCTGGGCACGAGCCCGAGGTGGCGGGCATGGCTAATGAGATATAAAAATACGCAGATGTACATTCTATATGTACATACATGTCTTTTTAGATGTATAGCACGTGTGTGCCCAGGCTCATACAAAAAAACTGAAAGGGCATTTGAAGCAGGAACACACCATGACTGCAGGATCGGAGTTGGAGAAGGGGAAGCTGGGGCGGCGCCGCCAGAGCGTGCCTAAGAGAAGGGGAAGAGGCAGGAGGTGAACGCAGAAGAATCTAAGATCGAGGTCGCACTCGAGCGCAAGTGGGGTTGCCAGACCTTGCGATGTGTGTACCAGGGCCCCCCAGGAAACCTCAGGAGGCACGACTTGGATACCGGAAGAGGCTCCAGGAGGCCCTGGGATTGTGAGTGTTGTGTGTGTGTGATGTGTGCTCTGAGTTGTGCGTGTTTTCTGTGCGTTGTAGGTGTTGTGTGTGTTATGTTTGTCCAGCGTGTGATGTGTTGGGCGTGTGTTGTGTCTCTGTGTGTGCATGTAGTTCTGCGCCCCAGGAGGCCCCAGGAGGCCCCAGGCGGCCTCAGGAGGCCCCAGAAGACCCCAGGAGGCCCCAGGAAGCCCCAAGAGGCTCCAGGAGGCCGCAGGAGGCCCCAGGAGGTTCCAGGAGACCCCCAGGAGGCTCCGAGGCGGGGTCTGGGGTACCAGAAATACAGAAAGCCCCAGGAGGCCCCAGGAGGTTCCAGGAGGCTCCCAAGAGGCTCCGAGGCGGGGTCTGGGGTACCAGAAGGTACGTCGGGGCTCGATTGATGTCTCAGGCAAAATCGCCATTCTCTGAGAATCAAAGTCAAAATCATTGAAATTACAATATGTTTTGAAGGTTGTATGTTAGAATGTTGAAATTCCCATGTGTTTTGGACCCTGACGTCACGATCTGCGTGAAGGGTGCCACCGATTTTCAAAATGTCGAGGATGTTCCTAGCGAAACGGCCAGAAAGATCGCGAACGCCGCCTTCAATTGATCGGCTCTGAGCTCTACTCCCTCGGAGAGGTGCGTTTGAGAAAATGTGTATATATATAGATAGATAGATAGATAGATAGATAGATAGATAGATAGATAGATAGATAGATAGATAGATAGATAGATAGATAGATAGATAGATCCAGGGGTGGCAAGAAGGGACTCCACGACGCGTTCCTGTGCTGGTCCTGGGCTCGCCGTTGCTAAGCAAGCGCGTTCCACTACTCGTTCAGCCCGCCACCGTGCCATCGGCACGTGGCGGAGCGCCTCACGGCTTTTATGCATCCCCAGAAAGGTTCCAGTGTTCAGAGGTTCGACAGGGCGCGCCCGCAGGGCCGGAGCCAAGGGGGGGTCCCCCCTACTTAGCTGCCCCCTCCCCCGGACCTCCCCGGCCCGAATTTCCTCCCCCCCCTCCCCCTCTTTTCCTCAGCCCCGCGGAAACTGCCCCCGCTCCCGCCATTCGCGCTCCGGAGGCTACCTCCCCCCTCGCCCCCCTTCCAAAAGGGGGGTGCTTGGCTACCCCCCCCCCCCTGTTGGACCCCGCCCCCCGTTGCTTCCGCGGTGCGGAAGCTACCCCCCTCCCCTTTCGCGCTCAGGAAGCTAATCCACCCTCCACCCCAAACATCCCCCCTTTTTTGGGTAAAGGGTGCCCGAAAACCAAAAAGGGCGCAAAAAACAAAAAACAACAAAACAACAAAAAAACAACACAAACAAACAAAAAAAAATGCCGAAACCCGAAAAAGTGCCGAAAACTCAAGAAGGGGCGCCGAAAACCAAAGGGGCACCGAAAACCAGCAGATGGCCGAAAACCGAAAAGGTTCGGAAAAACAAAGGGGCGCCGAAAACCAAAAGGGGCACCGAAAACCAGAGGGGCGCCGAAAGCCAGAGGGGCGCCGAAAACAAAACCAAAGAAGGGGCGCCGAAAACCAAAGGGGCACCGAAAACCGAAGGGGCGCCGAAAACCGAAAGTGAGCCGAAAACCATAAGGACACCGAAAACCAAATGGGCGCCGAAGACCAAAAGGGCGCCGAAGACCACAGGGGCGCCGAAAACCAAAGGGGAATCGAGCACAAAAAGTTTACCGAAAACCAAAGGGACGTCGAAAAACCAAGGGTGCGCCGAAAACCAAAGGGGCGCCGACAACCAACGAGGATACGAAAACTAAGGGGTGCGCCGAAAACCAGGGGGACACCAAAACCCAATGGATCGCCGAAAACCAAAGGGGTGCCGAAACCCAAAGGGGAGCCGAAAACCAAACCAGAAGGGCGCCGAAAACCAAAGGGACGCCGAAAACCAAAAGGGCACCGAAAACCCATGAGCACAGAAGACAAAAAGAGGCGCTGGAAACAGGAGTGCCGAAAACCGAAGCGTCGCCAAAAATCAAAGGGGCGCCGAAACCCAAAGGTGCACCGAAGACCCAAGGAGCGCCGAAAACAAGGGGCGCCGAAAACCAAAGGGGCACCGAAAACCAAGGGGGGCGCCAAGGGGCGCCGAAAACCAAAAGGGAGCCGAAAACCAAAGGGGCTCCGAAAACCAAAGAGGCGCCGAAATCCAAAGGGGCACAGAAAACCAAAAGGGTGCTGATCACAAAACGAGCGCCAAAAACCAAGAGGGTGCCAAAAACAAAAGGAGTTCCGAAAAACGAAAGGGTGCCGAAACCCGCAAGGAGCTCCTAAACCAAGAGGAGCTCCGAAAACCAAGGGGGGCGCCGACAATCAAAGGGGCGCCGAAACCAAAGAGGCGCCGAAAACTAAAGGGGAGCCGAAAACCAAAGGGGAGCCGAAAACCAAAGGGGCGCCGAAAATCAAAGTAGCGCAGAAATCCAAAGGGGCGCGAAACCAAAAGGGTACTAAACACAAAAGGAGCGCCGAAAACCAGAGGGACGCCGAAACCCAGAGGGACGCCGAAAACCAAAGAAGAGGCGCCGAAAACCAAAGGGGCACCGAAAACCAAAAAAGCGCCGAAAACCGAAAGTGCGCCGAAAACCGGAATGGCGCCGGAAACCAAATGGGCGCCGAAGACCAAAAGGGCGCCAAAGACCAAAGGGGCGCCGAAAGCCAAAGGTGCGACGAAAGCAAAGGGGTGCGAAGAAAACCAAGGAGGCTACGAAAACCAAAGGGCGGCGTCGAAAACCAAAGGGGCGCCAAACACCGAAAGGGCCCCGATAACCAAAGGGGCGCCGCAAACCAAAGGGGCGCCGAAAACTACGGGGGCGCCGAAAACCAAAAGAGGAGTGCAGAAAACCAAAGGGGCGCCGAAAACCAACGGGGCACTTCCTCCCCCACGTGTTCCCCGAAGGGCTCCCACAATGGCTGGGGGAGCGCATGGTCCAATAGTGAGGGGCCATGATAGGGGGTGGGATAGGCGTAGGGGGGCAAACATCGACCTGGAATCGGCGATACATCGCCGGTAGACCAGCGATAGGCCCCCGATCGTGAATCCGCACGTTCCTGGTCAGGTTGGGGCTCTCAGACCCCTATCGGCGATCAGTGGACGATTTGGGGTCGATGCATCCCCTCATATGCCCATCCCCCCCTGTCGTTGCCCCTGAAATGGCGTGGTCCACAATTTCCCCAACGTTTGGCCACATGGGCGTGTCCTATAAAAGGCAAGACGGCGATTCGCCGCATGCATTTTCGATGACCACTGGCAGATGGCCTGGGCCCGCCGGGAAGGTGCGACCCGCTGCACCAAGGCACGCATGTGTTTTCTCCGGCGCTTGCGAGTGCGGTGGGTTCCTGCGGCGTCGGCGCGGGCAAAGATTTTGACACTACGTCGATCGTTCAACCTTGAATCGTTCGCGGCCCCGATCGTTCAAGAATGAATTCTGTCGGGTCCAATGGCGTTGCCGCGTCCGTCGTCGGTGCTGCCGTGTCGCAGAGGTCAACCTTGAACGCCTTCGCTGGCGCCGCTGGCGCGCCATCGCCGCCTGAACCTGCCGTGGGCACTTTTGCGAGCGGTGGAACGCGCTCGGTGAGCTGCCACCATCGGGGCGGCCAGCGATCCGGCCAGAGGACTTCCAGGGGACAGGCCCAGAGAGGGGAGTGTCCAAGCCCCGCCCTTCGAGACCCGCGCGTCCGCGGCGCTGGCGCCCTGGCAGTCGACCAGCGAGGTGGTCGAGGCGGTCTCGCTGATCGCGGTGGTCGAGCTGGTCCTGCTGGCCCTGGCCGCCGGGGTCGGCGACGGCCTGCACGCGGCGCCGCGGGCCAGCCTCCTCCTCCTCCTCCTCCTCCTCCTCCTCCTCCTCCTCCTCCTCCTCCTCCTCCTCCTCCTCCCTCCTCCTCCCTCCTCCTCCTCTCCTCCTCCTCTCCTCCTCCTCCTCCTCCTCCTCCTCCTCCTCCTCCTCCTCCCCCCCCTCCTCCTCCTCCTCCTCCTCCTCCCCAGAGCGGGTGGTGAGGGGAAGTGGCGTGGCGTCGGGGCAGGCCGGAAGTGGGGTTGGCTTCAATGCTGCTCCCATCGCACTGAAGGGCCACATCCCAAAGATAAATAACTTCGGGCACCCAGAAAAAAACGTATCGAAACAGTGCCGCACGAGTATCGCCTCGCAGGGCCCGACACGTGAAAATCCTCACGTTTCGGTACTTTTTTGGTGCTCGAATTTTTTCCTGGTGGTCAAACTAAACATCAAAAGATTGGGTGAGCCTTCATGGGAGCCTCTGGGAACTTCCGCGGCCCTATCATAACTATGATTTCGACCGGATTTCGTCCAGACTTCTACAACCCCTCTTCAACCCTTCACGCAGATTTCGTCCAGATGTCGTCCAACATCGACTAGATTGGACGAAATCTCTGAACGAAATCACCAAGACTGCCAGAAAATGGGGAGCAGAAGCGCGGGTGCGGGCGACGGGTGCACGCACGGGCACGAAGAAGGCGTTGGCAACTACCGGGGGGAGAGGGGTGGTGAGCACAGAGGTAGAGAGATTTGGCGGCGCGTACAAGGGGGGAGGGGAGAGGGAAAGGCTTCTTAGAAGGAGGCTGCTTCTTAGAAGGTGCCGGCCCGCCCTACATCTACAGACAAGGCCCGCGCCTTCTGAGAAGCAAGGGTGCTTCTATGAAGCCTTCCCCCCTCCCCCTACCCCCCTCTGCGCGTGGCCGAGAGATGGGGGCGGGCGCGAGCGCGGGCGGAATCGGGGATGGTACTGTAAAGCGCGTCCCTTCCATCCCCCAGGCTCACGTGCAAGACAGGCATCGACCGTTGGGCCGAGGGGACCCAGGTGCCAGGGGAAGTCGGAACTGGCTGGGGGGGTCTGCGCTGGACGGGGCCCGAGAAAATCGGTCAAGAGGAGCACAAGGGCGCTAAGCCCTCCTGGGATCGAAACTGGCCAGTTTTTCGAGCCGCACCCAGCCTTGGACAAGGCACGACCGCGAGGGGAGGGAAGGGCACACCCCCACGAGGCGCGCCCTCTGAGCCAACTCCGCGAGCGCGCTCGAACTTCGAAGCAGCCCGCCCACCCGCCCCACTCCCCGCCCACTCGACACCATCCTTACCCCGCAGCGAGGGGGGAGGAGGGGGAGGGGAACCGCGAGCGCCCACCCACCCCCTCCCCCCGCCAGGAGGCACCCGCGATATGGAGGCGCCCGATGACCCATCTGGGAACCCAAACCGCCGACGTAAGAGGAAGCCAGGACGAGGGTAAAATCGGGTGAGGATTAATCGAGAATCTCCGAGATCCGGCGGCTCTGGAGGATGTCTCGGGCGCGGCGGCTTCCTCAGAGCGTTCCGGAACGCTCTGAGAGCGATCCAGCACGCTCTGGAACGGATTTGTCCTCGTCCTGGCCCCGTCCGACGGACCCCCGACGCCGTGTTTTCTTCACAGCGCCAACCTCCAGAGGTCTGGACCCGGGATCGGCTCTTCACCCCGAGTCGTCTTCCGACGGCCCCGTGGCCTGGCAACGGCCCCTGGAGGCCGAACATCGCGAAAAACCTCCCGTCGTGATTGTTTCACATCGCGAGGGGGTATGGGAACCCACCCGTGTGCCAGCGGCGAACCCGGGCGGGAAGTGAGCAGGGGCGGGCCTTCTCAGAAGGCTCGGAAGTCCCCTGGCCTTCTGAGAAGTTCTCATCTTTCCCCGAAGACGCAAAAAGCTTCTCAAAGGCGCGAGGGCTTCTGAGAAGTCCCGCCGCCTCCGGAGCAGGCCTTCTCCTTCTCCCTTCCCCCCTTCGCTCGCCGCCGAGTGCGGCCCTCCCCCTTCCGACAGCAAGCCTACGCACCGACCCCTCGGCCAGGCGGGGCCCGCGCGTGCCGCAGCGGCGCGCCTCGGGAGTCGCACGCCGTCTTCGCGCGAATCGGCGCGGGGGGAGGCTCCGCGCGGAGGCGGTCGTGGGCTGCAGGCGAGCTGTGGATCTCTTCGGCGGCGGGCGAGGGGGGCAAGGTGAGAGGGAGGAGGCCGTCTCGGGGGGCGGCGGGCCTTCTGAGAGGCCTTCTGCGTCTTCGGGGAAGGCTCAGAAAACTTCTCAAAGGCTGGGGGACTTCCCTGCCTTCTGGGAAGGCCCGCTCCTTCTCACTTCTCCCTGGGCACGCCGCCGACATTCGGTGGCAACTCATGGGAGCCTCCCACGCTATTGCTGGCTCTTGCGAGTCGACGCAGATCGACGCTTATCAACGCTAGTGGACGCGAATCGACGAGAAATCGGTGCTCCTCGACGCTGAATCGGCGCTTTCTCACAAATTACCGGACGCTAGCACACGCACTCCAACAATGCAATTTCCACGACACACAGTGCTCCGATGATTTGCGACCGAAAAATATCTAGTTCGTGCGCGCGCGGCGCCAGCCTGGGGGTCCACAGACGAAAAGCACTCCGGCCGGTCCCTGGGCGGTCCCCGGGCAAGTGGTCTCACGATGCCGGAACTCCTGGGGGCGGTTTTCGGGGCCCTCAAGGTCGCCCCAGGGGCGCCCGAAGAGAGGCCAAGGCAACTCCAAGAGGGCCCAGGAGGATCAATAGGTGGCAGGCATCACAATGGCCCGAAAACAATCCCAAGCCCAAAGATGGTCCTGGACAAGCCCAAATGGGCCCCCAGAGGCAAAATGTCTTGTCCCTTAGGTTTGGAAGGACTTTGGCATCACCGCATTTTCGGGCTTCCGACCGCCCAAGACAGCCCAAGAAGCTCCAAGATCGCCCCAGGTCGGCTCAAGAGGCTCCCAGGACGGCCCCAAGACTGCCCAAGAGGCCCCAGAAACGGGCCGAGATGCCTCCCAAGAGGGCTTCCGAGACTCCCAAGGGAAAACCAAGAGGGGGAATCCGAACTGACATGTCGAACCCTTCCTCGAAAGATCGCCCCCACGGCCGCCAGCAGGCCCCCAAGAGACCCCTGGAGGCCCAAAGACCCCCCCAGGAGGCCCCAAGAGGCCACAGGAGGTCCCCAAATGCTCCCAGGAGGCCCTCGAGAGGCCTCCCAAGAGACCCCTGGAAGCCTCCCAAAGAGGCGTCTGGTCCACGACCCAGTTTTTCCCCAAGATGCCATCGAGAGGTATCCTTATCATACTCTCCTCTTCCTCTTCCTCCTCCTCCTCCTCCTCCTCCTACTCCTCCTGCTCCTCCTGCTCCTTATCCTCCTCCTCCTTCGCCTCCTCATCCTTCTGGCTCGCCATGAGCACACCAACATACAGCAGAAGTCATACGATATGGGCCAGTGGAATGAGCGACGCGATGAAATGAATGAGTAAAAAGAAGCAAGTGGACAGAATGACTCAGAAGGGTAAGATTGAGGGAAGACCAGTGCAACAAACCACGCACTGGGAGAAGCAGGATGAGAAGCAGGAATATCAGAAGAGGTGCGAAGCGAACAACGACGAAAACGGTGATGAGACTTCCGATTCCCGATTTCAGTTTTCGGGGAATTGGGACTGTCAGTGACTGCACTTTTCCACACGGATCAAGCATAGCTAGCATGGCCCCGAGAGGCCCCAAGACCCAAAACCGCCTCCAAAAGAGACTTCCGAGAGATCCCCCAAGAGATCCCTACAGGCAGCCAGGAGGCCCCTCACCTGCAACCCAAGCATGGTGGCGGGATGGGCCGAAGGCCACTGTATCCGCCGCCCCCTGCTTGCAGGGGTGCACGGCGTGCTGGATATTTCAGGTTTGGGTTTTGGTTCTTTTTCTAAAAGAACTCCCCAGTGGGCTTCGGCCCGTCCCGCCGGCCACCCGTAAATTGCCGAAAATCCGTCTGTCAATGCCCAAAAACGGCCGTTTCGCTCGGGACATCCTCAAAAAATCGCGAAGATGGCCCAAGATGGCCTCCAAGTCCGCCCGAGATGGTCCAAGACGGCCTCCAAAACGGCCCAAGAGAGTCCAAGACGGCCCAAGACGGCCCAAGAGGCCCCCCAGAGGCCTCCCAGACGGCCCAAGAGGCCTCCAAGAGGTCCTCCAGGAGAGTCCGAAGAGGCCAAAATCATTGATTTTCCCTTGGTATTTGAAGGATTTTGGCATTTGCGCCTTTTCGGCTCTCCGACGGCTCAAGACGGCCCAAGAAGCCCCCAAGATCGCCCAAGAGGCCCCCAAGAGAGCCCCATGATGGCCCAAGTGGCCTCCAAGATGGCCCCTAGAGGGCCCCAAGAGGGCCCAAGAGGCCTCCAACACGCCCAAGATGGCCTCCAAGACGCCCAAGATGGCCTCCAAGACGGCCCTGGAGCATTCCAAGCGGGCCCCAAGTCGGCCCATAGAGGCCCCCCAAACGGCTTCCGACGGCTTCAGACGTGCCAGGAACCCACCAAGATGGCCGAAGTTGGCTCGAAGCTGGCCCGAGACGGCCCAAAAAGCCCCAAAGATCGCCCAAAGCTTGCCCAAGAGGCCTCCAAGACGGCCAAGATGACCTTCAAGATGCCCACGTGTCCCTAGAGGCCCCAAGAGGGCCCAAGAGGCCCCAACACGCCCAAGATGGCCTCCAAGACGCCCAAGATGGCCTCCAAGACGGCCCTGGAGCATTCCAAGCGGGCCCCAAGTCGGCCCATAGAGGCCCCCCAAACGGCTTCCGACGGCTTCAGACGTGCCAGGAACCCACCAAGATGGCCGAAGTTGGCTCGAAGCTGGCCCGAGACGGCCCAAAAAGCCCCAAAGATCGCCCAAAGCTTGCCCAAGAGGCCTCCAAGACGGCCAAGATGACCTTCAAGATGCCCACGTGTTCCCCGAAGGCTTTCCAAACCGATTCGGGGAACACGTGGTCCGATAGCTTGGCAGGTCTGGCCTCAACGTTCGGCCACATAGGCGCTTCCAAAAAGGCAGGGGGCGGCGGTGATTCGCCGTAGGCGTCTTCGATCCGCCGCCCCCTGTTGGCTTGCCACAGGGGTGCCCGGCGTGCTAGACCCTTTCGGTTTTGGTTTTAGTTTTTTTTCCAAACGAACTCCCCCTGGGGCTTCGGCCCGTCCCGCCGGCCACCCGAAAGACCCGGTTGCAAACGGTTTTCCTGCCCCAAACAGCCCCAAGATCGCTTCCAAGACGCCTAAGTTGGCCCCAATATGCATCCAAGACGGCCCAAGATGCACCCAAGACGGCCTAAGATAGCCTCAAGATGGCCTAAGACAGCCCAAGAAGCCCCCAAGAGGCCTCCCAGACGCTCCAAGAGCTCCTCCAGGAGGGCCCGTTTTTGAAGGATATGGCATCTGCTTCTTTTCGGCCTTCCGACGGCTCAAGACGGCCCAAGAGGCCCCCACGATCGCCCCAAGATCGCCCACGAGGCCTCCAAGATGGCCACATGACGGCCCAGGAGGTCCCCAAGACGGCCCAAGAGGCCTCCAAGACGCCCAAGATGGCCTCCAAGACGGCTAAGATGGCCCCAAGATGCCTCCAACACGGCCCAAGATGCACCCAAGACGACCTAAGATGCCTCCAAGAGGTCCTCCAGGAGGGCACGACGAGGCCAAAATTATTGTTTTCCGAATTGTTTTTGAAGGATTTTGGCATGTGCTTCTTTTCGGCATTCCGACGGCTCAAGACGGCCCAAGAGGCCCCCAACATCGCCCACGAGGCCGCCAAGATGGCCCCATGACGGCCCAAGAGGCCCCCAAGACGGCCCCAAGATGGCCCAAGGGGTCTCCAAGACGGCCAAAATGGCCTCCAAGACGGCGAAGATGGCCCCAAGACGCCTCCAAGACGGCCCAAGATGCACCCAAGACGACCTAAGATGGCCTCAAGATGGCCCGAGACGGCCCAAGAGGGCCCCCAGAGACCTCCAAGACGGCCCAAAAGGCGTCCAGGAAGTCTTCCAGGAGGGCACGAGGAGGCCAAAATCATTGATTGTCCATGTGTGTTTGCAAGATTTTGGCAGTTGCTTCTTCTCGGCATTCCGACGGCTCAAGACGGCGCAAGAGGCCCCCAAGATCGCCCAAGAGGCCTCCAAGATGGCCCCATGACGGCCCAAAAGGCTCCCAAGACGGCCCCAAGAGGGCCCCAAAACGGCCCAAGAGGCCTCGAAGACGCCCAAGATGGCCTCTAAGAAGTCCTGCTATGCCCCAAGAGGACCCCAACCAAGACGACGCAAACAGTCCCCCAAGACGGCTTCCGACGGCGTCAGACAAGCCAGGAACGCCCTAAGACGGCCAAAAAGGCCCCCAAGAAGCCCCCCACGGCCCCAAAAAACCCTCCAAGAGGCCCCCAGGAAGCTCCCAGGAGGCCCCAGAAGTGCCCCAAGAGGCGCCCAAGGGGCCACCTCCTCCTCCTCCTCCTCCTCCTCCTCCTCCTCCTCCTCCTCCTCCTCTTCCTCCTCCTCCTCCTCCTCCTCCTCCTCCTCCTCCTCCTCCTCCTCCTCTTCTTCCTCACCCTCCCCCTCCTCCTCCTCTTGCTCCCCCACGCGTTCCCCGAAGTCTTTCCAAACCGACTCGGGGAACAACTGGCCCGATAGCTTGGCCAAGCTGTGGCCCAGCTGTCGGCCACAGAGGCGCTTCCGAAGGGGCAGGGGCGGCGGTGATTCGATCCACCGCCCCCTGTTGTCTTGCAACAGGGGTGTCCAGCGTGCTAGCTAGACCCTTTCGATGTTGGTTTTGATTATTTTTCCCCCCCAAAAAAAACAACAACAGCAACAAAAAAAACTCCCCCTGGGGCTTCGGCCCGTCCCGCCGGCCACCCGAACTGGATCTCAATCCCCAAAAAAATCCTCCAAGACGGCTCAAGATGGCCCCAAGATGGCCACGTTGGCTCAAGACGGCCTCCAAGACGGCCCAAGAGCGTCCAAGATACCTCCAAGGCAGCCCGAGAAGCCTCCAAGAAGGCCCAACACGACCCAAGAGGCCTCCAAGAGGTTCTCCAGGAGGGCCCGAAGAGGCCAAAATCATGGATGTTCCATAGTTTTTTGGAGGATTGTAGCATTTGCTTCTTCTCGGCCTTCCGACGGCTGAAGACGGCCCAGGATCGCCCCAAGATCGCCCACGAGGCCTCCAAGATGGCCCCGTGACGGCCCAAGAGGCCCCCAAGAAGGCCCCAAGAGTGCCCCAAGACGGGCCAAGAGGTCTCCAAAACGCCCAACATGCCCTCCAAGACCCCACGAGGGCCCCAAGCCGGTTCAGGGAGGCCCCCAAGACGGCTCCCGACGGCGTCAGACGGGCCAGAAGCCCACCAAGATGGCCGAAGTTGGCTCGAAGCTAGCCCAAGACGGCCCAAGAGGCCTCCAAGAGGGCCTCCAGGAAGGCCAGAAAAGGTAAAAAAACACTGATGTTCCAAAGGTTGTTGAGAGATTTTGACATTTGCTTCTTTTCGGCCTTCCGACGGCCCGAGACGGCCCACGAGACCCCAAAGATCGCCCAAAGTTCGCCCAAAGAGGCCTCCAAGATGGCCCCAGAACGGCCCCAAGGGGCCCCCAAGACGGCCCAGGAGGCCTTTAAGACGCCCAAGATGGCCTCCAAGACGGCCTGGAGCATTCCAAGAGGACCCCAAGTCGGCCCAGAGAGGCCCCCCAAACGACTTCCGACGGCGTCAGACGGGCCAGGAGCCCACCAAGATTGCCGAAATTGGCCCCCAGATGACCCAAGACAGCCCAAGAGGCCTCCAAGAGGGCCTCCAGGAAGGCAAGAAAAGGCCAAAATCATTGATTTCCCACGAGTTCTAGAAGGATTGTGGCATTTGCTTTTTGTCGGCCAAGTGCCCCCAAAGATCGCCCAAGAGGCCCCAGACGGCCCCAAGAGCCCCCCAAGACGGCCCAAGAGGCCTCTAAGACGCTCATGATGGCCTCCAAGACGGCCCTGGAGCACCCCAAGAAAGCCCCAAGTCGGCCCAGAGAGGCCCCCAAGACGGCTTCCAAAGGCGTCAGCCCACCAAGACGGCCAAAGAGGCCCCCGAGAAGCCCCCGAAGGTGCAAGAGGCTCCCAGGAAGCTCCCAGGAGGCCCCAAGAGTGTCCCCAGAGGCTCCCAAGATGCCCCCTCCTCCTCCTTCCTTCTCCTCTTTTTCCTCCTCCTCCTCCTCCTCCTCCTCCTCCTCCTCCTCGTCCTCCTCCTCCTCCTCCACCTCCTCCTCCGCCTCCTCTTGATCTTCCCCGCCATCCTCCTCCAAGTGTTCCACGAGGGGGTTCCACAACGGTTGGGGGAACACATGGCCCGAGACCTTAGCAGAGATTTTGCCACAACGCTCGGCCACATGGGCGATTCTAGAAGGAGGGGGGCGGTGGTAATTCGCCGTAGGCGTCTTCGATAGCTGACACGGCCTTCGGATCAGCTGCTACTCCCGGCGCCCCCAGCCACCCGACGCGGCCGTCCATCGAGGAGAAGACACGGCGGGCGGGGCCGCGGCATGCGGCAGATGGATCAACCCTGAGATCTGAGGTCGCGGAAAAAAACATAACCCTAGACACTGCACCCCTGTTGCATCCTTCCAGTCGCATCGACCTGTGATGCTTCTGGGGCCCGACACCGGGCGAAAACGCCCCGTGTGTAAGAGCTGCAACGCTCAGATCTCAAAGACCCCCTGTCTCTAGAGGAAGGACAAAAACATTAACATAAACTTTCGACGGTCCGCTCGGATTTCTTGGATTTGCGCTGGGCCCCCCTCCCTGGCGCGCGGTGCGCACCAGAGGCGGCGCTGGATACGCGCGGAGCACCAAAGGTTTATGTTTTTGTGATTTTCCTTCTTCGAGTCTCGGAATCCAGCCCCCCCTTGTCTGACACCCCTCCCGAACGCGCCGCAGCCGCACAGTGGGCCGCGCAGCTGACCCCCCGCGGCCCGCCTGGCGGTCCCCGGCGGCGGCGCGGGGGCCCCTGCGGGGGCGACGCAGCCGCGCCCCTCGTGGAAGCAGCACCACGTCCTGCCCTCCCGGGCGGGCGGGAGCCTCGGGAGGCAACTCCCGGGAGGCCTTCGCCAGAGCGAGCAAGGACCGACTGAGCCCGATTTCAGGAGGCACCGAAGCAGATCAGGCTGGCTCACGCCACGGATTGAGCTGGGCGAGGCGGGACTAGGCTGGATGAAGCGGGATTCCGCCAGATTCGGCTCATTTCGGCCACGGATATACCAGCGCCGATGATGAATTCAACCTCCCAGGAATTACTATCCCAAGAGACCGATGCGCAGGAGACATCCTCAGACGTCCAGCGCATTGAAAAAACGATGCGGGAGTTGATGGTCGTTTTCGGTTTCTTGAGGCCGTCGCCAGGCCCTGGGGCCTTGAAACAGTACTCAGAATAGAAAGCAATCCCCTGGGGAAACAATCTGGACTTCCAGGCACCCCACATTGAAGGAAAAAAAGAAAAGCGAACCCTTGGGGTCTCCTCGACGCGTGAGACTTCTGCCCGTCCCCAAATCCTTCCCCTGGGCGCGTGGTCTGGTTGGCCTGGAAAAGGGGCGGCCAGACATAAGGCGGCGGCATCATCTGCTCCAAAAATACTCGTGACCAGCCTCAGATGGCCTCCACACTGCCCCCACCCACTCCCAAACGGCCCAAGGTGGCCCCCACGTCGCCCCAGACGGTCCCAACACGTCCAAAAATGAACTTCACACACCCAAAGTCGCTTCCAAGACGCTCCTACGGAAACGCTCCAAGAGGATTCCCAACATGGCCCCAAGAAATCAAAACCACTCCACTCCTGAAAGACGGCGCAAACAGACAGACAGACAGACAGACTGACAGACAGACTGACTGACTGACAGACTGACAGACTGACAGACTGACACACAGACACACACACACACACACAGACAGACAGACAGATAGACAGGCAGGCAGGCAGACAGACAGACTGACAGACAGACAGACAGACAGACAGACAGACACCCACACACACACACACACTCTCCCACACTCTCCCACACACACATACACACACACGCGCGCACACACACACACCTTGCGCCGGTGGCTGGGCAAAGGGCGACTGCTCCGGCGATCGGGTATCACTGGGGCGCGCTTTATGCAACTTGGGCCACAACGCACGTGAGGAGAGGAGGAGACCCCAGCGCAACGGGCAGCGAGGAAGCCGGGCTCGCTCAGGCTAGTCACCAGCTGCGGCGGAGGCAGCGCCGAGGGGGGCCAGCCGCGGCGCCACACAGCAGCTGGGGGTGAATGGCAGCCCAACGGCGGCCGGGCAAAACCAGGTGGGGAGCAGAAGGCGTGTCACATGTGGATGCAGACACCACACCATTGGGGGGGCGGCGGAACAGGCGAACCCAGCGGTTAAGCGAAGCACCGAAATCTGGTGACCTACGAAGCGCGGCGGGAGCCGAAAAGGACGGAACGCCACAACTGTTCTGCAATGAGCGCGGCAAGCGCAAGCTGGCGTGAAGGCGATAGACAAAGGACATGAGGCTGAGCGGCGCGGAGCTGGGAGTGCCAGCGGGCGGGCGGGCGGGCGCCGAGATCTGGTGACCTTCGAGGCGCCGAGAGGCAGTGTAAGGCGCCACGGCGGCGCGACAGCATCCACCAGTTGGCTGGTGCACGGTCGAAAGGCCGGCCTGAAAACCAGCAGCGAGAAGGCCCAGCGGCAGAGCTGCCAAAGGGACTGCGGGCAGGGGGGGCCGCAAGGGGCTGGTAAGGGCCAGGACGGAGAGCGCCGAGACCAGCGGACGTGCGGCGCGGAAGGGGGGGCGGCCACGGCACAGCGCCTACGCGGAAGAGGGCGGCCCACATGCGCGGAGGGGGAGCGGCCCACCTGCGCGGAAGGGAGGGGCCCACCAGCGCGGAAGGGGGACCGGCCCGCCGGCGAGGCGCGGAAGGAGGCACCCGGCGGAAGGGGGGGCGGCCCACCAGCGGAAGGGGAAGCGGCCCACCTTCGCGGAAGGGGGAGCGGCCCGCCGGCCAGGCGCGGATGGGGGGGGGGGGGGCGGCCCACCTGCGAAGCGCGAAAAGGGAGCGGCAAGGGCGCCCCAGGAGAGGTTCCGCGGAGGGAGCAGCGAGCGAGCAGGCCCACTGGCAGAACTGCCGACGGGACCGCGTGCTGGCCTGAAAACCAAGCGACGGGGGGAGGCCAGCAGGCCTGGGCGGGGGGCAGAGGGACAACCCACGGTCAATCCTATTATCTGTTCCGTCGCCATACGGGGGGGCCGCGGCACGCGGCCGTGGGTTGTCTACAGGAAACGGAAGGGGGCACTGAGCAGGTGCAAAAGTCAATATCTGGAGAGCCCTCCCCGCAGCCAGGGGCGCATTCCGTACCGGAAGCGCCCCAGCGCACGGAGGGCCTGCTGCAAACTGAAAGAGAGGTTCACAAGGTTTGACCTCGCGAACGCGACTGGGGGAGAAGGGAGGGGGCGCAGACCGCCGGCCCCGGGGAACACCCGAGGTCCAGTGGAACCCTCGACGAACCGGCCTCTCAAAGGCCACGTCAGGGACGCCTTGAAACGGAGCGGACGCGCGAGAATCAGGGCGGCGACGAAGCCAGCAGATGGAGGATACTGCAAAGGAAGACGGCATCACTTCGGCCAGGGCCCCCGATGCCCCCACCGCGCTGAGAAGAACACCTGGCCCAGGCCGCACTGGGCTCACGGCCTGCTCGCCGTATCTCCTTGATTGCGGCGGCCAGGGCTCGGTTGGCATTGAGGGGGTCGTGGCTGGAGACACCTGGGACAGGAGGTGGCACGTTCCCCGGCCCTGGGGGGCACTGCGGTAATTCTCGGCGCTCGAGCTGCCAGCGTTCGTCGCCGCTTCGGCGAGGGGGCGAGGCAAAGCGACCGCGGAACTGGGGCGCCAGTCGCGATGCCCGTCGGCGCTGCTCTGCGGCCGGGTCGACGCAGTCTCGGCGGGACGCGAGGCGAGTTGCCAGGCGCCGCTCCGCCCGGGCAGCGGCGCGCGATCCACGTGCATGAAGCGGTGTACTGGAGTACGGATTTCCACCCGTGGCAACGAGGGGCGCTCGGGGTGTCCGCGGCGGTATCTTTCCGTTCTACACTCCTTCCGCGGCGGCGAGGAGGACCCTCTCTCTCCCCGCGCCAGTAACCCTAGTGCCACCGCACACCCTGGCCGAAGCACCAACGCACAAGATTCTGAGGGCAGGCACGCGCCCTCCCTGGGCCCAGCGGGACCCCGGACGGAAGGGGCCCAGCAAACCGCCGGGTCCGGGACGGCGCAGCTCTGGCATGGGCGGTCCTTGCACAGGGTTCGTTTGTCCGCCGCGGGGGCAACTCTGCCTCGCGTCGACGCAGGCAACCGCGACTGGGGGGTAGTTGGCGGTCCCCGTAATCAATCCCTTCTGCCCCTCGTCTCCACCGCGGGGGGGGGGGCTCGTGGCCAGGGGGGTCGTTGGCGGCCTTCGCCGCCAGCCTCTTCTGCTTCCCGTCACCGGGGCCACCAGCCCACCCACTTCTGTCCATAGTCTCCTCCGACAGGGGAGCAAATCAGCGAGGCTGTCGTCAGGCGGGGCGAGTCGGGCGCCCCGGGCGAACTCTGCGAGGAAAGGACCCTCCTGGGAAGAATTGCCAGCGCCCGCCCCGCATGCGGGTCTCCGACCATCTCCATCACGAGGCGCGCCACTGAATGCACCAGGGGCGTCCACGCCGCCCTTCGCACCACCGCGCGCACCGCTGGATGTGGAGTCCGAGCGTCATCTCCCACGCAGTGGCTACCGCCTGGGCACCTGCACCCTCCGTTTCGCCAGCTCGATTGGCCTCGTGAACGCCCCTCGAGGAAAGAGGGTTGCACCCCAATCTGGCGGGGGGGGGTCGCTGCAGCGGCACTATCGCCTGGCACTCCTGATGCCGTCATTTCGAAAGGGGGACTGAATGCGCCGTGATTTGTTCCGTCTTCACAACGGGGCGCGGCGGTCTGCGCACATGGGCTTTCTGCAGAGAGTGGGGGGGACACCGAATAGGTGCACTGTCAGAGGATGATGGCGCACTCCGTGCAGCCAGGGTCGCTTCCCGTCGCAGAAGTGCCCCAGCGCACGCAGGGCCTGCTGCAGCATGAGAGGGAGGGTCACAAGGATCGCCCGACACAATTAATCGTCGATTCCACAGAAAGTATGGGAAAATATGGGAAGTGTGGGGGAAGACAAAAACCCCGAAAATGTGGAAAAACATAGGGAATCTGTTTATGTGTGTTTTTATTTGTGTGTCCTGGGGCCCCTTCAGAGAGGGAGGGTCACAAGGATCGCCCTCGGGCTCGCAAGACGCCAACGTTCTCACTTTGCCGTCTCCTCCGTAGGGGGGGAGGGGGGGGGGGGAGCGGCACGCGGTGGCCACAGCCTGTCGGGGCGAGCCAGGCGGCACCCCGGGGGAGCGCTCTCGGCGACGCGCGCAGCGGTGGCCCCGGGGGGGCGGCGACGAGCCCCGCACGGCCGTCTTCTGCGTCTCGTCCCCTCCGTTCGGGGGGAGCAGGGCAAGGAGGCAGCACCAGGACGGGGCGATCCATGCACCCTGGGCCCTGGGGCTCTCGGCGAGGCGCGCAGCAGCGCAGGTTACCAGTTTGAACCATATCCCTATCCCCATATTTAACATCACCTCACCTCGATGCCGATCTTAAGGATTCCCTCTATTTCTGAGGGCCTCTCCCTAAGATTGTCCTCGGTTTTTGCTCGCCCATCTTAGGGATAAGGATACGTTCGAGGCTGGTCAGTAGGGGGTCTGTCCCTGGGACTCCCGGGCGCTGCCCTCGGCCTGGACCACGGCAGGGCCCCACTGGTCCTTCTGCTTTCCTCCAGCGTCGCAGGACGCCAGCACCTGGAGGCCGCCGTCGCTGCAACGGCAGCGGGTTGGGCCTGGAGCGACTCGCCAGGCATGCCGTACGCCACGATCGGCGCCCAGTCTGCCGCGGACACCCGGGGGATCGTCGCAAGCCCGCTCGGGATGTCCGCAACCTGGGAGGTTGCCCCGAGCCCCTCCAGGATGTCCACGAGCTTCAGGCCCGTAGGAGGTGACGAGGAGCCGGGCGGCATGCCGGTGGTTCCAGGCATGGCGCAGCCGATCGCCGCCAGCGCGCTCACCCCGTTCTTGATATTTGTCTGGCGGGCGAAGGTATCCGTGCTACCAACCACAGTGAGGCCAGTGGGATCCCAGAAGCCGATCGGGCCCTGCACGCCCAGCTCACTCTCGAACGTGCGCGGCGGGGAGCCTGTTTAGAGCACCCCTTCGGCCCACGCGGACTCGGTAAAGCCGTCGTGAAGAGCTTTCCGAAGATCGCCGTCGAGGACAACAGTCGGAGATCTCAGCCGCCAGCTTTTTCTGCTTGTCCCCGGCGTCGCTGGACATCAGCACCTTGGAGCCGAAGTCACTCCCTGCAGCAGGGGTGCCAGCGGCGTGGTCTTGGGACAGCTCGAGGAAGGCGCCGCAGGCCCAGATCTGCGCCTAACCCGCAGCAGGAGCCTCAGAGATCGCTCCGACGCCGTCCAGGATGTGCACGTACTTCGGGCCAGCGGACGGTGACAGGTAACCTGGCAGCGTGCCGCTGTACTATGGGATGCCATAGCCCACCGCCGCCTGCGTGGACGCGCGGCCGTGCTCCAGCTCGGCCTGGAACAGGCGGGCGAAGTTGTCCGAGCCACCATCCAAAGTGAGGCCGGCGGGGTCCCAAAGGCCGACCGGCTCCAACACGCCCACCTCGCCCCCGAACGCGCTCAGTGGAGAGCCCGTGTAGAGCGCCCAGCCGTCCTGGAGCGTCGTCTCCATGATAGCCATCATGGCCAGGCAGCCGTTAGCGATCTCCGCCGCCGAGTTCTTCTCCTGTACCTCATCGGCCTCACTGGGCGTCAGCACCTGGAAGCCGACGTCACCTGCGGCGGCAGTGATATTGGCGGGTTGGGTCTGGGACAGCTCGCAGAACGTGCCAAGGGCGACGATCTGCACGCAGCCTGCCGCGGAGGCCTGGAAGATCGCCTCGAGCCCGTACGGGATGTCCGCGACCTTCGAGCTGGCAGGAGGCGAGCAGTAGACGGGCAGCATGCCGGTGATTTCAGGCATGATGTGCCCCATCATCGTCAACATGCTCACTCGGCCAAGCTGGAGCTCCGCCTGGCGCCTCACACACACACACAGACAAACACACACAACAACAACAACAACAACAACAACAACAACAACAACAACAACAACAACAACAACAACAACAACACAACAACAACAACAACAACAACAACAACAACAACAACAACAACAACAACAACAACAACAACAACAACAACAACAACAACAACAACAACAACAACAACAACAACAACAACAACAACAACAACAACAACAACAACAACAACAACAACAACAACAACAACAACAACAACAAGAACAAGAACAACAACAACAACAACTACAACAATAACAACAGCAGCAGCAGCAGCAACAACAACAACATCAACAACATCAACAACAACAACAACAACAACAACAACAACAACAACAACAGCAGCAGCAACAACAACCACAACAACAACAACAACAACAACAACAACAACAACTACAACAACAACAAAAGAAACACACACACACACACACATACACATACACATCGACAGGCAGGCAGGCAGGCAGGCAGGCAGGCAGGCAGGCAGGCAGGCAGGCAAGCAGACAGGCAGGCAGGCAGACAGACAGACAGACAGACAGACAGACAGACTGACAGACAGACAGACAGACAGACAAACGAAATGTAAGACAGACAGACAGACAGACAGACAAAATGGAGGACAGACAGACAGACATATAGACAGACAGACAGACGGACGGACGGACGGACGGACGGACGGACGGACAGACAGACCGACCGACCGACCGACAGATAGACAAACAGAGGGGGGAGGAGTGATGGGAGAGAAGGGGGAAGAGGGAGGAGGAGGAGGAGGAGGAGGAGGAGGAGGAGGAGGAGGGGGAGCAGCAGGAGGAGGAGGAGGAAGAGGAGGGAGGAGCGGTAAGCAGCAGGAGCGGGAGGAACGTTATGATGATGAGAGGTCACAGGGCAGGTCCGAGCCACAACCTCAAGATCGAGAGCCACAACCTCATGATTGTCTCTTAGACGGCCACAAGACGGCCAATCGGCCCCCGAGATGGCTCCAGGGGGCCCCCAGGGGATCCGTAAGAGCCTCCAGATGCCAACAATACTGTTTCTTCCCTTGGTGCTTGAAGAGTGTTTAACAATTTCGCACGTTTGGACTCTCGCTGGCCCATGACGGCCCAGGCAGCCTCCAAGATGGACCCCCTGTACGGCCCGAGAGGGCCTCAAGACGGCCCAAGAGCACCCCAAGATGGTCCGAAGTGACCAGCAAAACTGCCCAAGAGGCCCTCAAGACGGCCCAGGACGATCCCAAGAGAGCCCCCTGGCGGCCCCCAAGAGGGTGTCCGAAGGGGCCCGACGGCGCAAGAGCGCCCAAACGGCCCAAGACGCTCCCACTAGGCCCCAAAGAGCCCCCCAAGAGGGAACCCAGGAGGCTCCTAGGAGTCCCCACAACGACTGGACTGTACGTGGTCCGGACGTACACCCTGCGAGCGAGAGGAGTCCAAGTCCGTACTGCAGGGAAGCTTCCCGGCAGTGCGAAAGAACAGGTATGCAAAGCAAGGGCCGAGTCACGATGCCTCGAGGAAGTCAACTCGCCAGTCCCAGGCCGGAGGCTCGAGAGAACCAAAGGATCGAGGGCGATCGAAGCGCCGAAGAGGATCGAGCTGGGATCGAGGAACGTGGGCGCTTGCAGCGCTGGGCCTCCAGGGCGCTTCTCGTCGCCACGGCTGGACCTCGCTGGGCTCCAGGAGGCGCGAAACTCCCCTCGGGACCGCACTGCACCTGCAACGCACTTTGAAGCACCTTGATGGTCTGTTGTTCCAGACTGTCCACTTTGTATGCCGCGTCTGTCAGGTAAGCTGCTTCCAAAACTCGCGAACGATTCACCCGAATCGTGCACGCGGGCAGGACGGGGAGGAGAGGAGGGAACAGAAGTCAAAGAGGGTCGTCGCCCAGGGTGCGAGGCGGGGACGTATCCAGATCCACCGCCTGAGAACCGACGTCCTGGCGACCCAGCGGGCGAGGGATATGAATACATGCTGGCCCCAGGGGACCCGAACATATCCGCATCCTCCGCCTCTCCAGGCCTTCCAAAATCCATACTCCAGGCGGTGGCCATATCGGGGATGGACAGAACCCCCTTTAGCAAAACGTGGTTCAGTGAAAACGACCTGGGGCCCAACCTGGCGGGCGCAAGCCTGGAAAACGACGGCCACGGCGCCCTGACGAGAACCGAAAATGGAGAATTCACTAATCGACGTGACAGGGTGGGGGTTCTGTCAACCCCCAAATATATATACATATATATATATATATATATACATACATACCCACAAACAAGAAAACATAAACATGTTTATATATAAATATACATATAGATATAAATAAAAAATGAAAAAAACAGACTGGAGGACGAGCCAGGGGGGGCATGGCCAACAGTGACATCGACGGAAAAACTCGGAGGTCCGCGCGGATTTCTCGGATCGGCGCTGGACCCCCCTGACGTCCGTGTCATTGTTCGTCCCCTAGGGGAAGCCAGGAGGAGGGAGTATCTGTCGGCGGCGATCCGAGCCCTGGGGGGGAAGTGAGGGAGGGCGGGCCTTCCCGGGAGGCCCGGAAGGCCCCCAGCCTCCTGAGAAGTTCTCCGGGCAGTCCCCCGAAGACACAGAAGAAAGACTTCTCAGAAGCCGCGAGGCCTTCCGAGAAGTCCCGCCGCCATCCGCGAAGGCCTGCCCCTTCTCACTTCCACCCTTCGGCCGCCGCCGACTTCGGCGGGGCAGGAGGAGGGGGCCGGGACGAGCAGACGCAGTCTAGGGGGCCCTGCGCCGCCCGCTGGGGCGAACGCTGCCGGCCACCCCGCCCCCGCCCCCTCTTCTTCGCGAGCGACCAGCCGGACTCCCAGCTGGAGTAGCCCTCCACGCAGTCGTACTCCCTTGCGGCCCCGACGAGGCACGGGGCGGACCGGAAGAGGAGAGAGAAGAAAGGAGGAGGAGGAGGAGGAGGCGGCGGACGAGGAGGAGACGGAGGAGGAGGAGAAGGAGGCAGCGGACGAGGAGGAGGAGGAGGAGGAGGAGGAGGAGGAGGCGGAGGCGGAGAAGGAGGCCGCGGAACGCCAACCAGGTGGGCGCAGGATCTGCTGGCCTGCGGGGCGCTGGTGCGCGTGAGATGCCGCGGCGAGGGCGCGTCGAGGGCCGCACGCCGCACGCACAATGTTTGTTGCGTCGGCGGCTAGGAGGGGGACTGGGATGGCGAGTAAACACACGCACAAACACACACATACGCAGACACACACACACACACACATACAAACACATACACAT